GCTTAGGGCTTAAATCTCTATTGTAGACTGGGACTTAAGAAATTGACTAATTCTACTCATACTTGACCGTGATTGGTCAATTGATCCAACAAGGAAGCAAAAGTAGAAACCAATCACATTAGATATCGGATCCAGTGTGAATCCCGCATTAGATTTCCCACACCTATTGTAAATCCGGCCTTAAGAAAGATCTATAATTCACGGTCGCTCCGAGAGAGGTCTCCACAGTTTCTCCTGCCGCCGGTTAAATGTTTGGACGCGTATATGCGCGGTTCGAATTTCAACCGGTCGTAAATATTTTTCAATCGCTTTTATCGCGCGTCGTTCGCCCTCGCGCGCTCGAGTTTCCGCTCCGATCGAGAGAACGTAACACGTGTGCGCCGGCGACGCGCTGCCAGCCACGCGATTGGTATTAATTAACGCGGTTTTTTCGTCGCGGTGTGGAAGTCCGTGTCGCAGAATGGCTGTTAGCGCGTCCTTTCACCGAAACGTCTTTCTACTGAGTCAATTGGTCCCGCCGGACCGATCACTTTACGACTTCGAGAAAATCTTTCGCGAGGTAAGCGCCTTAACCCTCTTTTTTTTTATCAGAACTTTTACGGGAACATATTTTCTCGCACGCGTCACATCTCTCAGCTTTCACGCCGGTAGCGATACAACAAACATTGTACGGATTGCAGGGAATGTTCGACAAACCAAACACCGCAGGATTCATATGCGTCTCGCATTATCTGCTGACGATATACGACGCCGAGCGTTTTCAGAAGCTAGTCGAGTGGCCGGTGATGTGCAAGAACAGCGAGACCAAGTATCGCAACAATGTCAAGGACTATTTAAATGCCATCGCGTTGGAGAATCCTGACGTGGGATTCCCGCGTGTGGTCACTACGCATTTGTATCACGCAAGTGGTACCAAGTTCATGGCTATAATGTGGAAGCTGTCGCAGCTTGCGACGAGGACTTACATCATGCGCAACGGTGGGTGTCTGAGAAGCAAAACGGTAGCCAGGTCTGCGGCGAGTAGATCTTGGAAAGTATCCATTGCGGTATCTTGTTAATACAGTGTCAGAAATGATGCAACAGAATCTGCTACCGAAATCAAATGCCAGGCATTAAACGTATGCTCCGCTGTCAGAACCTGTTGGCATAGTCCGAGACTAGACTGTCGGTAGAAATCAACTAGGATTTAACTCGTGTATTTCATTCTTTTCGACTGTATCTCGTTATACCATCAAATTCATTCATATTTCGGCCGACGATACTTGCAACAAACATTTTGCAAAATCTATATTCGACAGACCTTGCTGTCTGAGCAGTTCTCTACCGGGAACATCGATTTTGCTTATATAATTTTTCATATTTCAATATACAGATAGAAAATAATATTCTCTGGGCATAATGTTCTAGTTTACTCATTGTTTCAGACGAATACAACGTTGTATTTGTACCGAAATCGAGTCCTGCTAGTGACTTGGCTAAAACGTACCTACAGCAGTCCACAGCAATTATCAGCCGTAACACATCGGATCGTCGTCGACGTTGCGTACAAATGGAAGAAGTTGCAAATTCCGCATTAGCGTAATACTTTTAACTTTCTTTTACAGTTATAGTCCACTAAGATTAATGCTACAAATTCTCTAAGTGTTTTCATTCCTTTCCTCAGAGAGGAAAGAGAATATCTGTCCAAAATTAAAACGGAACTGTTGGACAAGAAACAGTCTCTGGCAAAATCTGCGTCTGCAGCCCCTATTGCCGAATCTATAAAGCAACGTTTGACAAATGTCGAAGATACAGAGATCATATCAAGTTAGATATTATGTTTAACTGATATAATTCTTTGTGTATGGTATTGTTTTTATCTACCAAACTAATGAATGTACGTGGGTTTTAGTGTGGAGAGATAGTTTAGACGAGAACATACAATACATACAAAAGCGGAACGCGAAGTTGAAGGATCTGGAAAGAGTGTGTGAGAATACAAGTAGCATAATATCGAATCTGTTGAACGATACGAAAGCGTTGGATAGCAAGCAGCTGGAAAAAATCGATTGTTCTCTGCTATCGGAATTAACGTTTCCACCTGATGTTCAGGTAAAACTGAATATTGAGCACAATTGCATTACACAATTTTCCTTGTAGCCGAGTTCGTAGTAAGAAATAGGGATGTATCTTCGGGGAGGTGGGCACTAAGACGCGTCACTTGTTAATTTTTCGGCGAGAAAAATAACGGGGCTAGAACCAGGATTCGAACCTGGGACCTTCCGCTTGCTGGGCGAACGTTCTGCCAATTGAGCTATCCAGACCTTACGCTTTAAATCTTTCTCGCTTACCTACTCTATTTTTACTGAATAAAGTAGGAATTGTATCTTAAGACGAGCACGGCCTCCATCGAGTCATGATTTTATTTTAGAAATCGTAAGTAAAATATGTATCCGACATTTGATGTTCTATCAATTTTATGTTTTCTTTCAGTATTGTCTTTATCATTTGTATAATGATAACAATTTGGTATACCACAATTTCGTTCAGCTATTCACTTTGGTATTATATCAAATGTATCAATGCTTGACGAAAGGACACTTGGTAAACCTATCGCAGTGTCTCTTGCAAGTGGAGGCGAGTACAGAAGACATGAAATCCATGTGCAATGTATTCAAAACTTTTTTAGCAAATTTGGAAAGTTCTATGGAGGAAACGCAAAGCGTTTCGTGTATGAGAGGTGTAGAGCGCGTGTCCGGGAAAATTAAGTTACCCTTCGAAGCAAACCTGCTCCTTATGCCCTCGCCTCCTATCAAAATTAATACTTGCCCAAATGAAAGGAACGATATACAATTAGTGCAATTTACTCCAGGTGAAAGTAAGTTCGAGAGAACAATTGTAGATCGTAGTGCTTCAAATGATTATTGTAATTAATATATTATTTGTTTTTTTTACAGATCCACATAAGTCATTATTTACGAGATATATGCGGCACAAGCGGAATTGCACGCCAGATTTAAAAACGAATTTATTTATATCGCGCATCAACATCGACAGCAGCATATTGTTAGATAGTAATGAGAAACTATTGAATATGCGCTTTGTGACGCCGAAGGTGAAACGATTGTGTAAGAAAAAAACGGAATACTCCCGATTATTTTCTACTTGTATGACAAAAAATATAAAAGGTATGTAGAGATTCTATGTGATAATACATAATACTCTTATGAAATGTTTTATAAGCCATGAAAAAAAACAAGGATGAATAACAAGAAAATTACTGAAACTAAATAATTTTGTAACGAAGTAAATAAAATAAATTAAACGCTATACTGTAGAAGAAATCCGTCATTATTAATCCTCTTTTTTTTAATTTATTAATTTTTCTAATTTGTAAACATATTCTCGTGTTAGATGTTAATAATGACGAATTATCTCCGCAGAGTAATGTTTAATTCATCTAATTTTGTTGAATAAAATGACTGTTTCGAGAAATTCCAACAAATTCTTGATTGTAATTTTGGTGCATGTAAATGAAATAAAAATTGTATTAATATATTTTAATTAATATTATATTATATTTATGTTTATATAGCCGATTCTAGCCTATTTTTGTCATCTACTGCGCAAGTCAATTCTTCTGGCGTTGCACATAAACGACAAATGTTCAGATGTTCATCGAAGCTTAGTTTAGATGCTGTTACGGAGGGACCTTTCAATTTGAGCGAAGAGTCGTTCAAAACTTGCAACTCACCTGCACAATGTACTCCGATAAAACAAACCATCTCACAAGTCACGTCACGACAACAAGCGCAAGAAACATTTGATTGCGAAATCAAGGTAAACAAACCTGAATTGGATGAGTTTACAGAAGTACAGTTTGTAAATGACGACAGCAAAGGCAAAGTTGTAAAATATGACAGTTCGAATAAGCGGGCGTCTATTGGCGACTTGGTGGAACGTTATAAGAAGTTGCTGGAAGTCGGCAGTTCTGTTACAAGAGAGTTAGAAAACAAGTGCACAGAATATGAAATTGAATAACAAAAAAAGAAAAGTTACTTTTCCATTTTTTGTAAATTGAATGATTTCCATTATTAAAAAATAACAGAAAATACTAGTTGAGAGTTCACTTGGTTTATTCATAAAGTTATTCATTAAAATCTATGAATAACAAATATAAAATCTAATGTACAATATTCCATACGAATAATTCAGTATATTTATGTGAAAATGTATGATATGTTTTGTTTCTTTTAAAGATAGCTTGTATGTAGTTTTAGAACAAGATGTCAATAAGAAACAATATAAGAGTATTAACAAGTTCGTTTTCTCAAAGATCTGTGTGACAGACACTGAAAATTTGCGTAAAGAATGATAAAAAGATTTCAATATATTTAGGCGCTACGATACTATATTTTTCTACAAAAGAAAGACAAGAAAGACGAGGAGTTGTGGTACTAACATTTTCTATTTCGTGTAGTGAAACTTATTGTATATTTTTTTATAACATTTATATGTATATATTATAGAGTGTAAAGATATAGTCATGAAACGTATTATCGTGTTACAAACTAACGTACATCGTTACGAAATAATTTTGTGTAAAACTTTAAAAAATTGTCTCTTTTGTACAAACGATATTTTCGCCTTCTTTATCTGATTTCTCATATCAGTGCAGTTTAGATAAGGAATGGCGTGTTTTATCTTATATATAAATTTAAAAACAGTTTCTGCTTATTGTTTATACACAATTGAATACTTTTATCCTCGAGATTCTCGGTATATCAATTCTAATAAATTAGTTCTATATCTCTTGGTATTTGTCATCCAAAAGATAATCAATGTATTTTTTACTATTTCATCAAATAACACTATTAAATTTATGATATTTAATACAACAAGTTTATTCACATATTGCATTTGGAGTGCTACGTATTTTCTTGTAACATATTTGCAATACTAGTTAAAAAGAAATGTATACATTAAAAACTATTTTTTGCATTCCGAATTCTATATGTTGCATTAAATGTTACATCGCTCACTTACATCTGATATTGATCAATAATGTAAAAAGGCACAATGGTGGCATTATTCTTAATATACGTACGTTGATGAAAAGGGTTTCAGAAAAGGGATCTAATTATAATTAGTCGGTATATGTAACATATGCGTTGATTGTTATGTAATTGTATTAACCAATTACAATCTTTGTTAATTTCTAATGTGCATTTCTGGTATTTCAAAAAATATATTGGTACTTTCTTTTGTTCTTTCAGTCGTCTATACATTTTTACTATTTCTTATTTTGCGTTAATAAAATGCGTGATTTTCTTTTATTACTAGAAACTGCAGAATGCAAATTAGGTGTATGTATAATGATACATGCTTCGTGAATTTTGGCAGAATTTCAAGTCGTCTGTAATTAACTTTCTTTTCAATCCTTCGAATGTATTGTTTAGAGATATTTCTCGAATGATATTCCAATAAGCTTTTCTTATTATTCATAATATTCGAGATAACATAAGTTCGATAATAATTTGTAAAAATATTTTTCTATAGAATTTTCATATCTCTTTTATATCTCGTTCGGTACGGTATACAGTCATTTTCATCGGCCGAGTGTGGAATAGAATTTAGGCTGGAAAAAGAAAGGAAAATTCTGATTACATTTTTTAATAATACGAATAACGAATGTAAAAATAACAACTAGTACTAGATTTTATAACAAAATTAGTTGCCCAATTTGTTATAAACTTTCGGACAGGTGATACATATGGGCTACTTGCTGTTTAGCGTTGCACACGGGTATTAGTTCTTATCCAACATAAGAAAACGTCAATTACCTCATCGTGATTCTCCTCCTTATTCCCATCATCGTCGTCTCCAGAGCTGTCCCCTCCTGAACTATCAGCGGAATTACGTTGCGGATCTTTGTTATTTAAGCTATCCACAGCAGTCGCGGGTATAGCTTTGATTTTACTAGCGGCATCATAACATTGTAAACAGACCCTGACAGCTTTTCCGTTTCCCTGTCCAGGCAGTAGTAATTTTTTATTACTGCACGGACCACAAACTACCGCTCCACATTGCCTACAGTGGTGCTGAAATAAACAAGTAGTTTCAACCTTTGCAGCAATCATCCGAATTGTTTAAAATAGCAAAAATGTTCAGTCTTATCATTACCCGTCTGTTTAATACTGTGAATTGTGTTTTATTGCAGTGCATGCAAATTGTAGCTTCGTTATCTGGCACCCAAACTGCCGCATGGACCTCGACGGGCTTTTTGCCGCCTGAAAAATAAAAACACAAATATTAGACAAACTTAAAGGAAACATCAATTGTATACTTGCAGGACTTGGGAGATTGATCGTCATGAAAAAAACATATTCGTAACGCAATCGAGCACTTACTCTTTCTTAACAAATCTTCGATACATTTTGTGATATGTGCCATCCATTCTTGCTTTTCTGTTGGAGTAGCAGCATAAACAGCAAACGACTTTGTTACTGTCTTAATGAGCCATCCATTACGATATTCTATAAATAATGATCCAATACTATACTAACACTTCCCAGATACATATACACGATCTCATTTGATTATTGATCCGTACACTGTGTGGCACGATCGAGAAAAAAAAAGGAACTATAGCGCATCATTCTTTCTCTCCAAAACGAAAACCGAAAATATGTCCGTCGCAAGGCTCTCATTTCGCAAGAATTCATCTCTCACCGTGTGCCAAGTTTCCTGCGTTTTTCTAGCAAAACCTGCCCCGACAGCATCTTTTTTCTTTGCGTACGGAAATTTATGGAAATCTGTCCTCCGACGGTCATTGGAAAATATTTTATATGTAACGAATGGAAAAAGAAACGGAGGTTGCAGTGCGTATATAAGCGTGTAATACAATGTGTGTACTTACGACCCTCGTCCGCCAGCGATTCTAACTTTACCTCCTCCAGCGGTATTATATGCTGCTTGTTGTACTACGAACAAATCGTTATCATTACTGGAGGAAAGTCCCCTACCGCGAGAAAAGCTTCCAACGTGAGACGGCAGGTCTTCAACATCCAAATTCGATCACAATCCTCTTTCGCGCCGACTGCACGATCTAACAACGAATCTTCCACCAAACAGATCTCGCGCCAAGGGCAATAAATTCGTGACGAAACCAACAGACGATGCCTGTTGGTACGAAAACCTGCTGTCTCATATTAGGAGCCGATCTCACAATAGGAGACTTTCCTCTGTTAACGTCGCTATTGTCTCTCCGTCATCATTTGACGTGTCACTTGTCACATGCAGAAGTCTCGCACACCGCGAGAGGCGTCCCCCTACGTACCTTTTTCTTATTAATCACGATATTTCCGTAAACCAGTATGTCGTTGAACAGGAAGAACTGTCTAGGTTTGGGCTTCTTCCTGCACATTTTCGTCAGGACCCCCTCGCCCACCAGGACGCGGCCGGGTACCGCGAGCGGCTGCGGGAGGAAGAAACACTAGTCAGTGAGTCATCGCCACGGTCAGCCGAGTTCGGGACACTCGCGCGGAGCGAATCTCCTCTGTCTCTCTCTTACCTGACCCGAACCGCCGAAGCAGTTTTCGACCATCGCGATGCGCCTGGCATTGGCCTCGCTGTTTACTGAAACAGATCAAAGCCCCGTCGAGGACGGGGTGGGGGGAAGATTAACGCGGGGCAACCACGAGTGTCGCGCACGTAACACACCCACGTCCTCGAGCGAAGACGTCCCGTTGTTCTCCCTAGCTGTACCTTTCGCGCGCACCCCGTTACGAGCTACGACCCTCCCGCCCGCGTCCGGCGTCGCGGTTCTACGCGCGGGCGACGCGACGCGGGAGACACAGGAGGGGCGGAGGAAACGCGCGGCTAAACGGAGCGGGATCGCTCCGGCTGCCCGGAGCTGTCAACGAGCACACGGGCCACCGACCACGGGGGCCGACAGCCCCCCCTTGGACCGTTAGCCCCGCGACCGCGCGAGAGGACCAGGCGGCCGCGCGCACGTCCGCGTACGTCCGCTGCTCGCGACCGCGGGACGCGCGCGCCTCCCCGAGGCCACCCGGACCGCCCGGGCGGCCTCGCCTTTTCGCAGGATACGCGATATTAATTAAATGCCAATGAACGAAGCACGAACTAACCCAATCGGTCGACCATGATCTCACGAATCAGGGCTGGCAACAGCAGGAAGCGTGAATCACGGCCGAATATGCGTAATCCCCGTGCGCGGGTCCCCCTCGCTGCCGATCTCCTCGCCAATCTCCGTTGACTCCGTTTGCCTCCGCGATCTGCGTTTATATCGCCGAATGCACGCGCAGCTGGCGCCCGCTGGCGTCCGACGCGGGCGAGTTCATTCTTTGGCCACGCGCGCGCGCGCGCGCGAAAGGCGGGAACTCTTTTCTTCTTCTTCTTCTTCTTCTTCTTCTTCTTCTAGTTTATTGGCTCGGCGGGAACGATCGGAGTATAAACTGTCGGAGATACTCCAGGGGTGTGTTCAGATTCCTAACCCGATGACTGAGGGTGAGTTGCTCAGAGTTTCGACTCTAACCCGATCGATTTACTCTGAGTAAGTCTGTGGCTCTGAACGGTCTGAGTTATCTTCGGTGTTAAGGTGATGCTGGAGTCTCTCTGTTTTACCGACATTTTTTAATTAGGGATATC